TATTTTTATTTACGTTATCTAATTTTCTATTCAAATGCGACCCAGTGCACTATTATATCCTGGATCCGCCGCTGCCACTGACTGGAACCGGTAAGGCCATGAAGCAGTTTTGGGGTTGTTGATGTACCTAACGTGACAGGTGGAAATTGGGAGGCAACAATTTATTCTGTATCTTTCATTATGTTTTCAGAGGAGCAACCGGTGATTCTTTTGGGCTTAGAGATTCAGACGGCCAAAGTGGTTGGCGATTTGCATCAGTTAGAGTGGCCATTCGAGTTGCGGCAATGGTGGCGGTGCCGAAGGTGTAGCTCTATAAAAATGATCTCATGTACATAGCGACTGTGAGAGTGACGATTGAAATGATTAGTGCCTGACGGTCATGCTAGAAGGAGAGAGGCACGTGTGAACTCTAGTTATTCACGAAGAAAAGAGTTTGTTTCTCTTTTCACCTGTTGTTGACTGGAGGTTCTCGTGTTTTCGATTTTCTTTTTTGCTACCATTTTAGAACACGGTTAAGATTGGACCTCAATTCAACTCTATTTTTTTCGTGTGGATATGATGTTGGGACTTTTAGGGAGTAGGGTATACGTACGATAGTTCGAGACCGGGTGATTAGGATTATGATAGAGTCGTGAACTACGTTCACTTTCCGTAAAGAATATTTCCACCCTCAACTAGCCTAGGGTTACAGGAAATTTCTTCATAGGATAAAACTATCACCACTTTAGGTTTCAGGTTTAAGTACCTAAACCATACTTAGAACTTTTAGTAAGAAGAAGAATGAATATTTTTTTATGTCTCTCCCACCAACCGATCCCATCTATTTATAGATGACACTCGAAAGGTTACAACCCTTCATTCCTAGTCGGTTGGTTTTATGTCCATGCAACGTGTTTATTCATCAATTGAAATTAAACGTTGCCATGAGGGAAGTTTGCCTTTGGTTAAATTTGATTGACTGGCCGGTTTTGGGATCTTGGGAAGGGACGCTTCACTTCATGAAGCAAAGTATCACAGCCGTTGCCATTTTATCAAACTTAAAACTAACCACCAATGTAACCACATTTGCAGGAATAATCATTATATTTTCAAACGTGGTTACATGGTGTATATGTAATGCAAGGCACCCTTTAATTAAATGGAAGTCATCACTTACTTAAAGAAAAATCAATTAAGGGCATTTAACAATTAACTACCATGCAAAACATATGTAGGCAATCCATGAACAGTTTCATGCAACAGATGTAAATTGATTCAAACCGGTCCAAATTGATTAGTTCAAATCAAAATCGGTTTGATCCAATTTCCAACAATCCTCCCCATTTTAGTGTATTCAAAGAATTCACTAAAATTACAACATTCTTCTAAAAAACTTAAGCATAAATGAAAATGTCGTGACGATTGAATTTTTACCTTATTATATTACACTTGACAAATATTCGAATACAAAGGGTGTTGGTAACGGTTGAACCCATTGACTCATATGAATATTCGAAGATAATATACACTTAAGTTTTCAAAACTTCTAAGCGCCTTGTCACTATTACCCGCCATGTGTCCAATCATTCTCATAAGCGCACACGAAACCAAAGTCCGGGTTTCTTGAAGCGGCTACACTTCATGCTTACGTAGGTTGAATCTCTTATTCGTGTACCCGCATAATACACTTTTTCAAAGATTCAATTAAGAAGTTTTAAACTTCATCCTCTTCTCTCATGCAGGATAACAAGCACATACCTCGGGATGACAAATTTTGTGCTTCAATTTTTGATAATAAGCTTTCCACATTGAATTCAGCCTCTAACGTTGTATTAGAGGGGAATTGGGTGTCCCATTACCAGAAATTATATGGACTTTTAACCATCCCTTTCACAGACTTGATCACCAAGTCACTAGTTAACCACTTCGTCAAATGATCAACCAAATTATTTCGAATCTGGTCATACTGTCTAGACACAACATTATGAATGATCAGTTCACAGCTTTTACCGTGCCTTACTCCCACATGACCGTACTTGTCATTTTCACTTGACTATATGCCTTAGCCAAATTAGCATTACTATCACAAAAGATAGTAATAGGTGAGATTGGTTTAGGCCATAAATATGTCATAAACCAAACCTCTCAACAATTATGTCTCTTCTCTAAGAGAAACCAAGACCACACAAACTTTGATTCCATAGTGAAACTTAGTGATGCAAGTTTGCTTTCTAGAGGCCCAAAATATGGCACCTCTCCCAAGCAAGAGGACTCATCTCAATGTTGAAGTATCACCTTTAACATGAGAAATCCAACTAACATCAACAAATCCTTCCAAAATTGATGGAAAGCCACTATAAGTCAATACAGTGTGCCTTTGACATATCCTAGTACATGCCTCATTTCATTTCAAATGATGAGATCTAGGATTCATCACGTACCAACTTAATTGTTCTATCGCATATGCGATATCTAGCATCGTGTAAATCATGCATATATCGAGCCCCCAATTTGACATGGAATACTCCAATTGTAAAACTGATTTCCAGTATTAACCATAAGTTACATACTTGGATCCATTGGGGTCTTTAACTCACAACAATTCCTACTATGGAATTTATGCAAGTACCTTCTCATGCAGAAAAATTGAGAGAAGGACTCTTTCTTGTCGTTCCGCTTGATTCAATACACAGAATCACATTTGCCTCCCCCAGGTCCTACAGAGAATTGAAATAAAAACTTTTTATCAAAGTTCACTTATTTTTTATTGGCTCCAAAGATAAGCATGTCTTATACATATACAAATGTACGATTACTTCATTACCAGAATCATCATAAATTGTGTACACATTTTGTCTCCTTGGTTTAAAATAACATAAACCACTAGACAAAATCACTTATCTTTGATTGGTCCCAAAGATAAATATGTCATCTACATACAAACACAACGACTCTATTACCAGAATCATCAAACATTGTATATACAATTTTGTCTCCTTGGTTTAAAATAACATAAACCACTAGACAAAATTACACCACCAAACCACTAGACAAATCCAAGTTTATCTAGAACTTCGTAAATGTCGAATAGAGAATTAAACTAATTAACCATTGAGTACGTGACCTACCCAAAGGCAATTTCCATTCTTCTATTTCTCCATTTTACGAATCATTCTCCTTCTTCCTCATCTTCTAATCATCCCTCTTTCAAGTTACCTTCCTGATATGGAAGACACCATGAGACTAGTACGAAGAAAAACCATCTTCTACTTCCATCGATGAAATACCCATCATTGAAAATTCTCATAATTCCATAGACCGGAACCGGTTGCTTGTAAAGAGCGGTTCGAGCCATCGTACCTGAAATTATTCTTTACGATTGTTGAGACTTTTAGGGACGAGGGTATACGTACGATAGCCCGAGACCGGGTGACTAGGATTATGATAGAGTCGTGAACTACGTTCACTTTTCGTAAAGAATATTTCCACCCTCAACTAGCCTAGGGTTACAGGAAATTTCTTCGTAGGATAAAACTATCACCACTTTAGGTTCCAGGCTTAAGTACCTAAAGCATACTTAGAACTTTTAGTAGGAAGAAGAATGAATATTTTTTGATGTGTCTCTCCCACCAACCGATCCCATCTATTTATAGATGACACTCGAAAGGTTACAACCTTTCATTCCTAGTCGGTTGGTTTTATCCATGCAACGTGTTTATTCATCAATTGAAATTAAACGTTGCCATGAGGGAAGTTTGCCTTTGGTTAAATTTGATTGACTGGCCGGTTTTGGGATCTTGGGAAGGGACGCTTCACTTCATGAAGCAAAGTATCACAGCCGTTGCCATTTTATCAAACTTAAAACTAACCACCAATTTAACCACATTTGCAGGAATAATCATTAATCATTATATTTCCAAACGTGGTTACATGGTGTACATGTAATGCAAGGCACCCTTTAATTAAATGGAAGTCATCACTTACTTAAAGAAAAATCAATTAAGGGCATTTAACAATTAACTACCATGCAAAACATATGTAGGCAATCCATGAAACTTACAGTTTCATGCAACAGATGCAAATTGATTCAAACTGGTCCAAATTGATTAGTTTAAATCAAAACCGGTTTGATCCAATTTCCAACATATGAATCATTATTTCTTTCTCCGTTTCTCGCGGGACAATATGTATGCTCCAGTTCATCGGCCACCCAAGTGACAGTCAATCTTGGCGTTCCTTAAGCGTCTCATTTGACTTCTTTGCATCTTCATTTGTGTTTCTATTTGTGTGTTTCAGTTGATTCGTTTGTTTCTTCTTTTCCCAGTTGTGTTTGCTACTCCACAGGAAGCTGTTGCCGAATTTGATTCTGGAACTCAACACAATCTATCAACGGATGGAGCTTTGTCATCAACGGATCTCTATGGTAGTCTTTGTCCATTTGGATTTCGATCCAGTCGTCTCTCTCAGTGATGATCAATTTATGAGACTCGTGTTCTTTTGATTTGTTCTTATTGTCCTACTTTTTAATTGATGGATGTCGTTTAATTTCTTGCTTTTCCGGTGGCAAGCAGATGGACAATTCAATCCATAAGAATCTCTACTCATCACCTGCGACAACATTAAGATCAGAGGAAGGAGTTCAAATTTTAGGTAGCTAATTCATTTACTTTTTACCCTTTGATTCTCAGTCTCTCCTCTTTTTTTTTTTTTTTTTTTGGTAGATCATTTCATTAATATCACGACTCATGGAAACACCCATGTTGTCATACAAAAGCCAGTAACACAAGTTTGGGTCGCTCACATCGAACGGATGTGTGCCAAAAGTAAGGGAATGACCCTTAGAAGCCAAGAAGTCAGCTGCAAAATTACCCTCCCGAAAAACATGGTTAATTTCAACAACCCACTCCCTATCAAGAATACTCTCAAAGAGCTTAGCAATGTGACCATGACAGTGATCACTATTACTCTTATTCCTAATGATAGCTAATGCAGTTGTAGAGTCAAGATTGAGCTCCACTCTTCTATGACCAAGCTGCCAGGCCATTTCCAATCCTTCTGCAGCTCCTTTCAATTCGGCTCGAGTAATGGTGCATCTCCCGAGATTGCTAGCAAACGCCCCTAGACATCTTCCCAGGTGGTCTCGAATGAGGCCCCCTGCAGCAGCATGACCAGAAGGTTGGATCACTGATCCATCTGATTGAACCTGAATCCAGCCCTCTCTTGGAGGTTTCCAAGCAATCTCGAGACTAGATTTGGTCTTGTCAACAGGTGCAAGGCATTTTTGAGCATTAATCAATGCTTGGCTGTAGATGTTAATCCAAGCATTCACCCTCTAAATCAATCCAGCTTCTGAATAAGATTTGCCATCCATTGCTTCTTCATTTCGTTGTTTCCACAAGTTCCAGCAGATAATGCCAAAATCAACTCATGTATGCTGATCCATCATATTCTTTATCAACCATGTCTAAAAGTCGATTCTATTATCATCCACCTTAAGCTTGTTTCTAAAATGTCTCCAAAGTCCAGCAGTTTTCCCACACTTCCTGAGGATGTGTTCTGTTGTTTCTTCTATTGTTCTGCAGTGTTTGCACATTCCATCTTCTGTCAGCTTCCTCTTTTCTCTTTCTTTGTTTGTGAGCAGCCTGTTATGGTTTTCCAGCCACAAGAAGTGTTTGATACGACTCGGACCCTTCCATTTCCACAAGTCTCTCCATGCATCAATTGGTGTGTTGTCCACTTCCCCAGCCACCAGCGAATAGGCTGACTTGAGCTTGAATCTGCCATCTTTCTCGATCCCCCAGACTGTTTTATCTTCTCCTAGGTCTGAATTAGGCACATCAGTACCTGCAATAAGAGAGATCATCTCATTAGGGATGTATGACCTCATCCTATCCCAGTCCCACTCACCTGAAGCATCAGTCCAACTAGAGACAGGTGCACTCAGTTCTTCCTCAGTGAGCTCTTTCAGGGCAAACTCCTCGAGGGTCAGGCCACTTTCAACCCATGGATGAGTCCAAAAGCTGGTTGTGTCCCCGTTCCTCACACTCCATTGAGTGGCTTGTTTCATGTAGGGCATGGCTTTGAGGATGCCCTTCCAAAGGCTTGAGTGATTACTGCTCTTCATCTTTGTGATCTTGCCATATTTATGGTGGAAGTATTTTCCCTGCAACACTTTAACCCACAGGTCAAGTTCATTATTGAATAAATTCCAAGCGAGCTTAACCATATAGGCTAGATTCAAACACCTAGCAGATCTAAGGCCAAGCCCCCCTGATCTTTAGGCTTACACACAGTATCCCAGGAGAGCAGATGCACTTTCTTCTTCCCCTCAAACGATCCCCATACAAACCCTCTAATTTTTCGGTTAATTAAATCACAAATGGAGAGAGGAAGCATGGACGTTTGCATTGCATAAGATGGAATAGAGTTGAGAACTGAGATAGCCAGAGTCACCCTTCCTGCCAAGGAAAGGGATCTTGCTTTCCAAGAGGAAAGCTTGCTATCCATTCTCTCGAGAATGTACTTATAAGTATTCCGCGACAGTCTACCATGCAGAACAGGAACCCCCAGATACTTCCCAAGATCAGGGGTAGACTGGATTCCTAGAGTATCACAAATATTCTGCCTATCACAACATCTAACATTTTTAGAGAAGAAGACCCTAGATTTCTCTTTACTAATAAGCTCCCCTGACGCAATACAAAAGGAATCCAAACATCTCAGGACAGCCTCAGCTTGCAAACAGGAAGCCTCAGCAAAAAGAACTAAGTCATCAGCAAAGAACAAATGAGATAGAGCAGGACCATTTGATGACAGTTTCACAGGTTTCCATTTTCTAGTGTTTACTTCATGAAAAATGCAATGGCTAAGTCTTTCAACACAAAGAGTAAACAAGTAAGGGGAGAGAGGGCATCCATGACGAAGACCTCTTGATGATTTGAAGCTTTTAGTTTCTCCTCCATTCCACAAAACTTGCATTTCAGTGGTTGTGACACACTCCATGACCATTCTGACAAAGCTGTTAGGTAGTCCTGCACTGTGAAGGGTTTGCTCCAGGAACCTCCAGTCAATCCTATTATATGCCTTTGCAAGATCAACTTTTAGGAGCATTACTCCTTTCTTTCCAGTCTTTCTTGCCATGGAATGGACTGTCTCCTGCAGGATAATGATATTGTCAGTAATATGTCTATTAGGAACAAAGCGTGACTGGTTTTGATGCACAAGAGAGGGCATCAAACCCTTAAGCTTGTTAGCAAGGCATTTAGCAACAATTTTATACCCTACATTGCATAGGCTAATAGGCCTAAACTGATTCATGGAGGTGGGGGATTCAGTTTTAGGTATAAGGGCAAGCAAAGTTTGGTTAACTAGTCTGATGTTGGAATGAACAAGGAAGCATGAAGAGATGAAGTTAGAGAGATCTTCCCCAATTTGGCCCCAGCATTTTTGGAAGAAAATGGCCTGGTAGCCATCTTTTCCTGGTGCCTTGAGGCCATTCATACTCCTCACAGTAGCTCTTATCTCATCCATACTTGGAGGGGTGCACAGCCTGGTAGCTTCTCCTTCCTCAACTGCAGGAAAGTTGGCAGGTATCGAATGGATGGGGTCCTGCCCTTCTTTGCTGTACAAGCGAACGAAGTGGTCTCTTGCCATGATTTGCAGCACTTCTGGGTTAGTAATCCAGTTTCCATCCTCATCATTCAGTCCAATGATTCTGTTCCTTCTCCTTCTGCTGAGGGTACTATTGTGGAAGAACCTTGTGTTCTGGTCTTCCTGGATAATCCAATTTGCACGAGATTTCTGAAGCCAAAGAACCTCCTCCTGCCATAAGTTTTCTTCCAGTTCTTCTCTCACTTTGCATTCTTGGATTCTATATTGGACACTAGGTGACCTCTCATTCTTGGCTTCCAGAGGTTGGAGTCTATGCCATAGGCTCTTCTTCCTCTTGAAGATGTTGCCAAACACCTCTCTATTCCATTTCGTGAGCTTATCCGAGAGATTCTGCAATTTGAAAGGAAAGGTAGATGCATTACCAACACTCCAAGCATTATCCAGAAAAGGAAAGAAATCTTTGTGAGCAATCCAAGGAGCCAGAAATTGGAATCTCCTCACCAGTTCACTCTTATCCACAGGGCCTTCACAGCTCAACAGTATTGGTCTGTGGTCAGACTTCAACTTAGGGAGATGAAGGTTTGTCGAATCTGGGAAGGCTTGCAGCCACTTTGAGTTGCAGATGCAGTGGTCAAGACGTTCCTTAAGCCTCGAATTCTTCGTGAACCATGTGAATCTAGGTCCGCTGAACCCCAAGTCAATCAACATATTCTCGTCCAAGCACTCATTGAAAGCTTTCACCTTACCAAAGTTGAAGGGGGCACCACCTTGCTTTTCTGAGGATTTAGAGATGGAGTTAAAGTCACCAAGCAAAACCCAAGGGATCTTTGTACTCCTTTGAATCTTGCCAATGATCTCCCAAAGCTCCCCTCTGTTATGCTCGTTAGGACTGGCATAAACAGTTGTAATCTGGCAAATTTCTTTATTATCCTTCCAACATTTGAGGTTAATAAACTGTCTATGATAGTCCAATAACTCCAAATTGATATGATCTTTATTCCATAAGACCCAAATGCCACCACTGAACTCTATGGCGTCAGACACTTTCCATGAGTCAAATCCTAAGGACTTAATCACTTTTAAAGCCTCTTCACCACTAATTCTAGGCTTCAAAATGCAGAGGATATTTGGATCATACATTTTCTTGTAGAACTCCACAGTGGAGTGAAATTTCGGGTGCTGAGCACCACGACAGTTCCAGGAAAGTGCTCTAATCATAATAGATAAGAAATACTTCCCTTCCCCGAACCAAGGGTTGACAGTTCATGTGGATTCGACGGCCATGGCCGTCTCTTCCTGCCCTTGAACATTATCTGGTGCCTCCTTTGCAGGTGCGCTAGCACTTTCAAGTGTTGCCTTATCCTTCCCTGAGCTTGCTTCAAACTCAAGCTTCCGTGTATGGCTGGTCCCATTCTCTGGGGTGGTGGTGATCCTCAACGTGTGGTCCTTCGTTGCCTCTGGTGGTGGTTCCTTTATCTTGGGCTGGTGTCCCGAGGTCCCCTCCACATTGTGATCTTTCCCTTTCCCCTGTTTTTTGTTTTCAGGGGTTTTTTGATTTGGGATTGCAGGAACCTTGGGCTCTCCTTTGAGTTGTGCATCTTTGGAACTCAACTTACCCTTCCCTGCCACTCATTTGCTTGACTTCGTGTTCCCAAAGTCATGTTTACTGGCCACAACGTTGGCCTTCATGCCTGACTTTGAGACCACTGGTGATGCTTTCTGGTTCTCCTTCCTGCCTACTTCTTTCCCTTGTACTTGTTTCTTCTGTTTGTCTTTCTTGGGTTGACTCTCTTTCTCCTGTTTCTTCCTTTTTGAATCTTCCTTACTGTGTCCCTTCTCAACTCCAACTCCGTCAGATGTTGCTGCTTCTTCACCATGCTGTGCCATTGGAGCATTTTCAGTGTCAACATTCTCTGCATCATCTTTCCCTGTTTGTTCCTCCTCGAGTACACTAAATCTGGACCCCTCTGGTTGTTCTTCCTTTGCTGCAGCAGTTTTTCCTGATTCACTCTTCTTTGTCGCAACCCATTTCGGGTTCATTCTTCTCTTTGGCCTTGAGGCGATCATCCATGGCCCATAGTCTTCCACCACTTCCGGTCGAATAACATTACCCTGTCCTTGGTGATCTGTACTCGTGGTCTGCTGTTCCTTCGAGGCAGGAGTTCTCTTCTCCTGGGTGGGACATTTGGCCTCCAGATGGCCATAGAGACCACAATCATAGCAGACGGTTCCCAGCCCCTCATACTCTACTCTTCTGACTCTCCTATTCAGCCTATATTTGGGCACCAGCCTTTTCCTGAGATCAATTTCCACACATATCCTCGCATAATTTCCTCAAAACCCATTTGACGTATTGTAATAAATCTTCACCACTCTGCCTATCCTGCTACCAATGCTCTCAAGTATTTCTTTATCGAAGTATGCCATCGGGAGGCGTGGAAGACGAACCCAAACCATCGTCTTGTTGATAACATCAAAGTCGGGATCGAAATCCAACCTCCACGGCTCCGCTGCAATGTATTGCTCATCAACCGTCCATGGTCCTCCGTAGAGAGCTCTGTCATAGTCAAGCTGTGAGCCAAAAATCGCTTGGTAATATCCATTTCCTATATCACCAATCTTAACCATCCCTGTTTTCGCCCACATCTTATGGACTTTCCTGTGAATAAAAGCAAAGGGGAGGCTGCCACCAAGGATCCTGAACGTGATTGCTCTACTCCATCGGTGGCGAACTCTGGCGTCGGTACTCTTCTTGATTCGGATGGTTGGACACAGTGGGTCATCCTCCACATCTTCTCCATTAGACTCATCTGACATGAGGTCATCTCCCTGAGGGCAATCTGGCTGAGGTCCATTCCCCAACACTGAATCCTTGTAGGAGACTCTGTTCTGTTGGGTACGCCTGTGATCTTCTGTTTCCCTGTTGCAAGCTTGATTCATTTCTGATCCCTCCATTTCCGAATCTGGGTCCTCTGCTGCAGCTGTCACAATCGCGAAGTCCATCTGTCCTTTGCCGGAGAACCCTTCACTCGTTGTCGCTTTCGCCTTCTTGCTTGGTTGGACTGGAGTCGTTGCCGGCGACCCATCTGCTGATTTCCTCTTTGTTCCATAGTTTGTTGCTTGGTTCTATACTATAGTGTTCTTGCATCACTTTTTTTTTCTTTCTCTTTTCCATTGATTTGTTTTCCAGAAACCCTACCTCTTGCTCGAGAACAACGAGCTCGAGATCCACGAAGACGAAGCAGAAAAAGAACAATGCTTTTCGAGATGGAGATCGAGATTGTTGGCCAGCTTCAGGGGAGGCGACGATGAGTTTTTCCCAGGATCAGAGGACGAGACTTATTCACGAGCAAGAAGCTTTGTTTCTTAAACCAGGAGCTCCATTTCCCCAACCCGTACATGCGGTTTCAACGTATTGTTCTTTCACCCATATAGAAAAATCGGCTACAACGAGCCCGAGCCTAGAAAGAACGAGTTCAATGCATGTCGATAATCAGAAGATGGATTAATCACTTGCATGGGTGGATCTCTTGACATTTGAGGTTGTTGATTTCTTATGCACAAAAAACCGTAGCAGCAGCACTAAGAGTCCAACTTTGCGGAGAAGTTTAGAATTCTCTTATAAGGTACCCTTTAGGCTATCAAAATTTTAGTTCCATTGATTATATTTGAGTTTCTAAGTGTTAGCTGCACAAATAGAACAAAAATACCTTCAATGTAATATAACGATATCGTTTCGGTAGATTATATGGGAAATTGAGTTGCCATAGGAGTAATTACTAGCATTTAATCCAAATCAATTGTTTCTTTGTGCTCGCTATAGCAACAAATATCAAAAGCCTCAATAGAAAATCTAAAACCCTAATTGATATGTGATTCTTAGTGTGTTCATTTCCTCTATGTAATCTCATACTATTGTTTTGGTATAGCTTGCTCTGCCACTTAGAGTCCTCAAGGCTATTGTTGAGTTTTGGTACATGTTGAGCTTTCCTCATCTATTGTCTCAAGTATCATTATTATTCTTTAGTTGTGTACCTTCAATTAGATCAAGCTTGGGTGCTACTGTTATGTAGTTTTTTTTGTTCACCTGTTAGCTTTCATGCGTACCCCACGTGACTGAATCTCATGTTGATTTGTTTGACATCCTCATTTCCTTCTTTTGGTTGCACACTATGTCATATCTATATATAGCTTCAACTATGCTGCTAAAAATGCTCAATATTGTGATAGAGCCCGGTAGATTGGGTTCTATCTAGGGATTGTGATTGGGGAAGATCAACTAGGGATTGATCTCTGGTGTCACAGAAAAGAGGGAGGGGAAAGGAAGTTGATTGGGCGAGAGGAAGAAAGAAGAGAGGAGGGGCGGCAGTAGGCTGCCGAGGGAAAGGGAAAGGAGAGAGGGGGTCGGCTGAATTGGGAGAGAGGAAGAGAGAGATTGAGAATTAGGATTTAGGGTTATAATCTTTGCTTACCTCCCTAATCCCACGTACAAGTAGTTTATATAAAAAATGGCTAATTCCCTACTACTACCCGATCTATCAATTATTCCCCAATAATCCGAATAATAATAAAACGACAATAATTCAAAGTACTAAAATGCAAGTTCTCATCATCCCCGCTTTCTTCAAAAAGCAACCTTGTCCCCAAGGTTGTTCCTCCAGCTCACTGGTTCTCCACTTCGCCATTCCCGACGTCCTCAGCGGCATCCTCGGCTTCGTCTTCCCAGCGTCTGACGAGCATCATCAGGTCCGGTGTCGGGCATTGATGGCCAATGGTGAATCGACCATCGCAGTTGAAGCACTTACCCTCCTGCATCCTTTGTTCTATCTCAGCCGGTGAGAGTCGCACGAACCCTTTGGGTATGGCCCGCGGCCCCACTCTGGCCACTAGTGCCGCATTCCCACTCCCGGTATTAGCTCCGGAGGCATGGCCCGCCGCGGATCCTCCCCCGCTGCCCCCAGTGCCACCGGCTCCACTCGGGCTTGAGGCCCGCCTTGCACAACCCTACCAGTGTCTCCTCTGGCATTCCCCTGCACTGGTTACCCAGCTTGAAGAACTCAGCGCGATAGTCGGCCACCGTGCCGGTCTGTTTTAGCTTCGCGAGCTGCTCTAGTGCCCACCCTTCTGATTTCCCGAACTGATACCTGAGCTCCTCCTGAAACATGGGCTGATCAAGGTCTCCACTGTCGCGTAGGATCTCTCCATCCATTCTCACCACTGCAGCGCGTCACCCTCCAAGTAGAAGGATGTCAGGTAAGCTTTCCTCTCCTCTGGAATCGGGTGGTTTTTAAACCACCACTCAGCTGCATACAACCAAAGACATGCGTCCTCTTGCTCATTGAATTTTGGAAACTCAATGGTGGGAGGCTTAGCTCGGAGAACTATGCCATCAGTTCCCTCATAAGTATGGTAGTACGAACCATACCTGTCCTCACCCGGTGTTCTCCATGGCTGCACGTGCGAGAATCCCTGCCCTGGGTTCGGGTTCCCAGGTCCGTAGTACCCCTGATAGCCGCCTTGTTGGTCCTGGTATCATCCCGGGGATTCTGGCGTTCCATATGGCCCTCTCCAGCACGCGGACCCCTTGATGTCCGCTCTACCTAGCGGCTGGTGAGTTGGGTTGGGTCGATGTCTGGTTCGACCCACCTTGGGCCGACCCGAATTGATCCACCCCGGCTCGGTTCGAATCACTCTTGGCCCAACCCGATTCGGTCTGCCCATCTTTGGTTCGACCCGGATCGGTCCGTCCGCATTCGGGTCGACCTGGTTCGGCTCGGTCCGCCACTCCTCTGGTCCACGACTGGGTCGGCCCGTCGGTCTACCAAGCTGATCCCGTCATCTTCGGCCTCATCATCGAGGCCCAGCCATCCAAGCCCATTGCCATCCCTCGCAAATCTCCCGACCATCTCCGACCCATCAGTCGTCAAAGGCCTGTCTGTTCAACATCGACGACGCACGTTACGTGACCAAAGAAATACACGTAACAACATTTTTCTATACATAGCTTTGAGTAGATATTTAATTATCACACCACACGTCGTGCGGAAAACACCATATATTAGTTTTTCTCTCCAGTCTAGTGTAGAAGTAGAATAAATATCTATTTGTCTTTCTCGCCATCGAATCAACTCTTTCTTTCACTCACCACCGTCGTTTAAGTTGGAAAAAAAAAATTCCCCAGGAAACTTGAACTTTTCAAGTACTATGCTCTGCTATTGTTTCCTAATATATGGGAATCTAATTAATGTGGCAGGGAGTCACGAGAAGCTGGCGATCAAAGGAATCCTCTCTTTGGCATCGAATCCAACCATCACATGCCTGCGTTTACATAAAAGGAAATAAGGAGTCCTTGGCGGGGAAAAGGCAGGCTATCTATATATAGCCAGCCCAAGTTGAAGTTTCCCACGCTACTTAATTCATCATCAGCTCTTTCTTTCTTTCATTATCTTCTCCCAAAGCCTACTGGCAAAACATATAAGGTACGTAACTTTCTCAAATTCTCTGTTATGCGATGGAAACCAACATTATTATTATTATTACTACTATTAGGGTAATTCTTATTATGGTTGGTAGTATTCTAGTAGAATTAGGTTTATTAGTAGAGTTTTCCTATATTCGTTGTAATCTGCGTTTCATTATCAATCAGTCAAGAAGAATATTAAGAAAAGCCTTCTTAAACCCTATTCTCACAATCCTCTCAATTCTCATTCCCAATCTCTCTAAAAAGCCTAGGCCGATTCTCTATCTTTCTCTTCTCAAATCCCTAATTCTATTCTTAATTCCTAAATCCCAATTCCCGATAGAACCCTAATCACAGGTTGTACATTATGTGATTACTCTCAACTCCTCCTCTTTTGGTTTACGTTTATGTGCGTTTCTTTTGGTAATTAATAAAATTCCACCTTAATTAATTGATTGATGGCCGGGGTTGTCTGTTAAATCTCTACGTACGTACGTTACTTCCATTCCATGGGTGTTTGATGTCCCCAGCTTAGCTAGCTTGTTAAGATACCTGCAAAAAGACATGGATGAGTTCATAACCCGTCCTTACGTGGAGAAGAAGGAGGAGCTTGCTGCTTTTGACGCAGAGATTAAGAGACTGGACAGGGAGAGAGTCGAGAAGAACGATATGCACGACAACTACATTGGAGGCGATTTGGGGTATCTCAACTCCCTTAGGAAGCTGCTGCGTGACTTGGATGAGAATGTGGCGCGGGCCAAATATGAGTACCAGCAGAAACAAGAAGACCTTCGTGCTTACATGAGGGAGCTGAGGCTTAACATGATGAACATCTATGAGAATGCCAAATGGATACTCGACGTCGTTGATTCAGGCGGCGGCGACGACGACGATGATCGTTATGCCCGCCGGTGGAACAATCTGCAAAAGAAGCGAGTCATCTGTTTCAGCCGGGTCGTTGAGAAGAATAACAATGCCGCCGACGACTATGAAGCTTTGGACAAAATTTTTACCGACCTTTATGCTCTCGACGTCAAAGCCAAGGCCCTTGAGGATGGTTCCGCCTGGATTTAATTTTTCACCCACAGCTTTCTGGTACGTCAGGTTAATTTGTGCTTCGAGGCTGGAATGGAGTGACCAGCTGTATTTACATTTTCAAGTTTCTTCAAGTGGCTTTAATTAGGCCAGTGTCGAATGTTGTTATGATGTAGTTTGTTCAGTGTCGAATGTTTCAAGTGCATGCCCAGGTTCGTTCTTTAAGTACTTATGGGTGTCCTTTCACAAAAGTTTTGGTTGGAACTTGGAATATATAGTTAGTTATATATGCAGGGCATGCAGTTTCGTTCATTAAGGTTTGTCGTCTGGTAAACATCACTCTTCTTTCCTACATCTGCGCGCACCGCACCTAATTGGGATGGGATGTCGTCGTGCTTGATCTATTAATTTATACGTGTTTGTTACTTTATGTGCTGATGAGACACAATACGTAGTTTGTTTAATTTATACGTGCTTTTGTTCGTCTATCCCTTTAAATTTTGCAATGTGCATATTCCTGGTGTGTGGCAACTGCCCTTCTCTTCATTGGCTTCCTACGGTATGAAGTCCAATTATAAGTTGTTTGGATGCACCCACCCACTAAAAGTATGAAATCCTACGGTACAAGCCTACCTTTTTACGACTGATCTAATCTAACGGTCATTATAAATTATATTAAAATTAGTAATAATAATTACTACTTGCACCCTTTAAATAATTATATGTGCTATGAAGCCCCCCAATAATAATTATCGTTCTATTTTCTCACATGATACCTATTCGTTTTTGTGAGAACTCAGATGATACCTTATTTCTTCAAGATCTTTTGATGAACACCCAAAAATTATACAATTGATAAAATAAAGTTCCACTAAAAGGTTACCCCAATTCGACAATCCTAAACCACCATCATCGTCATTACGATTTTTCTAGATACCCCAATTGCAAACCCCTAATTTTACCATCATCATCATCGTCCCTGCTTCCGACCTTCATCGACTTTGGCTCATCATCTGTTTTTAAGGTCGCAGATGACAATTACCCTTTCGCGACGAATCCGAAGCAATTGACGGTGAACGACTATAACCTTTACGTCGTGTAAACAATGACCAAGGCTGAAATGGAGAGAGGGGATTGGGTCTCGTCAAGGGAATTCTCTTGGTCGGAGTCCAGAATCAAAACGGAGTGAGAAAGTTTGGACGATGAAGAGAGACGACCGTCGGATTACAGTGGTGAGTGGTGACGGCGACAACTGGATAATTGGGAATTTGGGGGGGGGGCAGGGAAGACGACGTTACATGAAAAAACTCCATCGCTTTGTGCTCGTCTCTGAATCGAAAGTGGCCTGGAGAACGACGTCGTTCTATAGGTGTAGCTGAAAACAAAAATTTTGAAATGGTATGAGGGTCGAACCAGCGTCCTCGTCATTACCATGGGCATTTTTCACCATTGCTGCTGAACAAGCGTTTTGATTCAATATACTTCCACTGTTATATTTATAATTATAAAATGAGTTCTTGTAAAATTAAAACATAAAACTAAACTAAGCAGGCCTTTTGTACCAGGCCCAATAGGGCTTAGTCGAGCAGATCGGTGGCTGTCCTCCCTTTGTCTCTTTAACAATAATGAATTGTCAAAAAAAAAAAAAAAGAGAACAATAATGACAAAGTTGAAAATTGGAAGACTACTTACCTACCAAATCTAGCAAACGATTCATCTTCTGCTTTTTCTCCCCTCCCCATGCGCTGCCTTCTCTGTTTTCCTTAAGACTAAAACTCAACCGCCCTCCTTCTCCCTCCGCCTCCGTTGCTTGCTTGTCTCCGCCTCCGCCGGTCAATCAACCGCTGGTCGCTCAGTAGCGGTCTCCTCCTCCAGGCCACCATCATCGCCTACCACCTCTGCCACTGATTCGCTGTAGCCGTTGTGGGAAGAAGAGCGGAGGAAAGTCGCCCGGACTAACCACGTCGGTTGTGGGAAGAAGAGCGGGCCACCATCGTCGCCTGCCACCTCTGCCACTGATTCGCTCTAGCGTTTGTGGGAAGAAGAGCGGAGGAAATTCGTCAGGACTAACCACGTCGGTTGTGGGAAGAAGAGCGGGCCACCTTCGTCGCTTGCCACCTCCGCCGCTTATTCGCTCTAGCTAATTCGTTCGCGATCTGCTCGACTAACCACGCGGTGTCGCCGGCCACGTTTCCACAGCCGCAGGTACTTTTCTTTAATTGATTGTTAACTATTTGGTACGTTCTATTAGAATAGTTGATCATATGTGTTCTTATACTCCTATTGAACATCCACAGTACGTGCAAGAACAGAAATTGAGTAGGGTTTCCGTGCTGTAATTTTCTGACAATGGATGATATATCGCAATGGTAACCGTAAGTATTGTTTACCAACTAATCGTTACAACAGTCTACTCCGCTTCCTTTTCCTATTGTCAGCCATTACTAACGGTTTTATTTATAGGGACTTTATGGTTGAGCCTGGTTTCATTGCAAAGCTGAAGTATGAGGAAGCTGTATCTATGTCTATTTTGTCGGATTCAATCGATCTTACATTGTTGCAAGAGAATGGTGACGGTGAGGTTATTGAAATAAACGTTTTTTTCATTCATCCTTATCGATCTCGTTTGCAGTTATTGTGTTTGTTAATGCTTGTTAATTTTTTTTGAAATTCCTTTTCTTGTTTTAAACACCAGGGCACTTCTTCCCTCATCTCCGGACGTGTCAGCGAGGTGAGGACATCCTGGTGTGCTGAATGTAGATTCATTTGATCCACCTAACTATCGAGGATGATTATTTGGATCTTGAGGTTGTTTTCCCATCGACAAACTTGCGCAAAATCATTTCAGATGTAGTAAGTGATAAAGATATGGGCAATGCCGATTTCGTTACCCTTGTCAACTTACTTGATGGAAACTCTTATGAGTTTATGGTCGCATTGGGTCCTTGGAACAATGTGTCGAGTTATTTTGAGCTGTTATTGGTAAAATTATTTTTTCCTCCCGGAAACTGAATACCATTTAAGCAATGTCAATAGAATCTACTAAAGTTGCTTAGTGTCCGCCTTAATGTTATTTCTCTTGTTATGCAAGTGTACTAAGTGTGTGAACATAATGATTTTTTGTACGGGTTCTGCCCTTCTTAATGAATTGTTGCTTGTATCTTTCTATACTTATCGAAACATTTCTCAATTACTTATAAACGGGATCAGTTGCCTAATGAAAAGTTATGAAAAAAAATTCAGGTTAATTTGGTTCAAATTACTGTATCATTAACATCCCACACCCCAATTCGACTATCCAAAAGGCCATCATTTGTTCACCCAAACTACCCCATAGCTAACCATTTATCTCACCATCATCATCATCATCATCATCATCAAAACCCAACAGCCATCAAAACTATGGTTATCTCCAATTACTGCCCAGGGAAGAGGACGAGACATGACAAACGTCGTCGTTTGTGCTCGCTGCTAAAGTGAGAGTGTCCCCAGGACGACGTTGTTCCACAAGCGTAGCTGAAACATGGTTACATGGATGTGGGTAAAAGAAATAAGAGAATATGGAGAATCGAACAGGCAACCTTGCGATGACAATAGCCCATTTTAACCATCAATGCTGTACAGATTTTTTGATACTTTAAAAGTGCGCGTTTTGTATACATATGTTGTAACAATTAAACATAAAACTAACCAAATAAATAAAACTAGGGAACTCATGACTTCTTAGAGTTGTTAGAAAAGAATCGATGATAATAACAAAAATAATTAAGGAAGTAAAGCAAAATAAATGAAGACGACGACAATTTTTGTATAGAAGTCAATGGTTTTACCGTGACTATATTATATGAAAAAGCTATCTACATGTGCATACCATGCATTTGGACAATAAACCTTACATACTACTCACTAGATATATCTCTTTTGTCAGAACAATATGTTTTCAACACATTATGTGGTTGTGACACAGTCAATTTGCCATGTTTAAACACCATGTGTTTACATATTATTTGGTTAGTGAACTTGTATACTTTCATTACTATTCTGGTTATACAATAAGTCTGGTTTGTGCGAGTCTAAAAACGCATTATAATAGAAATCATGTAATATACACTTCTGACAAATTTGAGTTTCATACCACCAAAATTCAAAATAGTAAAACTTTGCGGCTTGATTTTACCTTGACCATCATCCCCATTATCTATGGTTGAGTCTTGTAATTAGTGTTGAATGATTTGATTGTGATAGTTATTTAGATTTTGGAGCTGGATATATCGTATTTGTAGAACAATTTATTTATTATATACAAAAGTTTTTGTAAAAAAAATTGAAGTTGAAAGCTTAATCGATCTAGTTTTAAATTGAAGGAGTTAGGTTATAAAATGAATACTTGTATGATTCTCTACCATAGATCTAATCTAACGGTCATTATAAATTATAGGCAAAATACACTTGCATAGCCAAAACTTTCACCTTTGTGCCACTTATAGCCACATTTGGCGAAATACCACTAATAGCCACTTTTGAAAGATGTTGCGTGCCAGATATAGCCATTTCTGTTAGAAACTATGACGGCGTTAATAACTCCGTCAACTTATTTGATGGTTGGCTGACGAGGCGCCAAATCATCAACCACGTCAGCGACAACTAAGCAAAAATCGACACGTCATCTTAATAATTTATTTATTATTAATTTTTTTTTAAACTTTCCCCATCTACCTGATCGCACGAGGCTTCCAGAAATCCCCATCTATTTCCAGAAAACGAAATTGGGGCTTCCTTCTACTCCATCTCTTTCTAGAAAACGAAATTAGGGTTCTTCCCAAATTTCCTCTTTCGCACGAAGGAGATACACGAAGCTGATCGATGCTTACTCCTCTTCCCCAAATCTTCTTCTAGTTTTTGAACGACTCGGCGCTTCTTCCTTCTTCCCCAAATCCCACTTCTTCTCGGCCGATTCGCGACCCCGAAATCGCGATTTCTCCTGCCCAGAACTTCACACTCGTCAGCCATGTCCAAGCGAGCATCTTCCTCAACTTCGGCTAGCATCAATAGCCGAGGGGCGGTACTCTGTTGGCACAAGAAGCCATGTGTGGTGAATACATCTGGAACCGAAGCAAACCCAGGAAGACAGTTCTATGGGTGTCCATTTTGGATGGTAAGGTGTTTAGAGATGGGTTTTGAAATTGTCATTGATGTGGGTTTCTGAAAACGTCATT